CAATTACTTACATTTAATGTAAGACAATGAAAATGTATTAAATTAAAAGAAATTCTATTCATGAAATGCAAATTTACATGCTAAAATGTTATAAGAAAAAAAAAATACAATGATATTATTATCATCGTAGTTTATTTCTGTGGATCACGATTACTCATTCCGCCATCATTAATTATATTCATGGATTACGATTACTCATTCCGCCAACATAAATTATATTCATGGATTACGATTACTCATTCCGCCACCATAATTTATATCTATAAATTATGATTACAATTTCGCTATTATAAGTTATATTCGTGGATCATAATAACAATTCAGCTTATCATAATTTATACGTTTTATCAGAAATGTGCCTGAAATTACGAAATTTAGAAGAAAGACGAAAAAATGAATGTAATGAATTTAAGAAAGAAGAAAAAATCATAAATAAAGGATGATTTTAGTTTGAAGAAAAGATCATTATCGATCAGAAAAAGAAACGAATAAAGGGTTCTTTGTTTGGATTAATTAATATTCAATTCAATCATTAACATTGAATGCCGCTAATATGATCAAAATTGGTCAATCATATCAGCAATAATATATTATTGTAATTTTGTCCCATTACTTTTATTAAGACATTTATGACATTTTGAGATGATTCCATGGCGTATGTATTTTGGTTTAGGTTAATTTTTATTATCTTTCTTTTTTTTTTTTACTAAATTTTCATTAAAAAATAATTTTCATATTTCAATTAAATTATAAATTGTAATAATGAAAAAAAAAAAACTATTTGAAGGTAATAATTACTCTATAAGTTTTAACAAATATTAGAAAATGATATTAGGAATTTATTTATTACTTTTGGATTCATTTATTACAAAGTTATATCAAAAATTTAAATTTCATCTTATTTATTTGTTAATTATTTACCAAAATTACAACGTAGATATTCGCATTGTAGATCCGGAAGAACAATGGCAGGATCAACCGGAGAACAACATTACTGGTTTTAATCAATCAAATACTTCAGTCGTACCATTGAATGCATCGAATGAACGTGAAATGAATTTTGTAACTTTTTCAAATTTAACATCACAACCAGCAACAAGAAGTGAACAATTTTCCAATATACTACCACAAATTACTAATCATTCTCATCCTTTTGCGCCAACAAATGACGAGGTTCTTTTTTTTTTATTTCCTCTTTACTTACAGGAAAGAATTAATCTAATTATCCATTAAAATTAAACATTAAATTAGCTCATCTTAAAAAGTTTAATTAAAATGTTAAAGAAGAAGATATGGGGAATATGAACGTTTACATTTTAAACCAGTTTAAACTCTACCTATCCCAATAATCGGCCTCAAAGAAAACGATCTCGTTATTTTTCATCACTACCTCCTCATTCTGAGAATGGTCAATTTACGCGCTTGCTACCTTCGCTGGATATGGGGTAGCCGTTTCTCAGGTTCCTTCGCCGGATTCGAACCGTTATTCTTCGTTATCCGTTTACAACCATCATGGTAGGCACATAAACTACCATCAAAAGTTGATAAGGCAGATATCTGATGGATACGTTGCCGGTACAAGACCATGCGGATCAGCAATAGCAGCTATTCAGAGTTTATCAATTAACAGGACTAATAATTCGATTAGTTTTAATCTAATAAATGTGCTCATTTCCTAACTTTTTTTTTCTCATTCAATTTAAATCTTAATATTTTTATTTTATAGGCAACATACGAGCATGTATCTTTGATTCCTAGAATATCATGCGCAACTAATTCATCTAATATAGATTATGTACCACAATTCCTCCCAAATACTCTATCACCTGTTTCATCATCAATGTTACCTAATCATAATTGGTGGATGACTTTTCCACTTCCTCCTCATCCTTTTCCTCCTCATCCTCATCCTCTTCCTCTTCCTCCTCCTCCTCCTCCTCCTCCTCCTACATCATCAATGCATTTTTCACCTGTTCCAAATATTGGTAGAATACCAGGTCAATCAACATCAATTTCATTAGTACCTGCTTTTGAAGCGCTTCATATCAATATTCCAGTTTCTTCTTCTTCTTCTTCTTCTTCAATTAATGAACACGGACATTGGAGGGTAAATTCTTTTTTTTTTTTCATAAAAATATCATAGTCTTTTTTTCTACATATTGAAATTTTTGATAAAAAAATAAACTTTTTCAGAAAGACTTTAATAATTTTTTTATTTACAAATTTTTATTCTTTCGAACAAAAAATTGAATACTTAAAATTATGCAATAATTTAATGAGTAAAGTTAAGTTTAATTTAAATAAATGAAATTAAGCTTCTTTTTTTTTTAGCAATTATCTATAGCCACAAATATGGATGATACAAATTCACTTCTAATACCACGATCACTTTATTCTCTAGAAAATAATCAACAAAATATAGCATCAATTAGACAGGAACATGAGGAAATTGAACATATTCAAGGGTATAGCAATACTTTTTTTCTTTGTTAATTAACAAATACTAATTAAAATTAAATTAGTAAGTGGACCGATAATTTTAACGTAACACATTCTTCCTGAGACTTTCCATATATATTTTGAAGGAACTAATTTGTGGGAAATTTTTCAGTGAAACAACAATAATTAGTTTATGGAAATGAATATTTTGAATAATAAATGAGAACAATATGAGATGATTAATAAGTTTGAAATTAAATTAACATATTTAAAATTTAGAAATGAAATTAATGTATTTAAAATTTTGAAATTGAATTAATGTATTTAAAATTTTGAAATGAAATTAATGTATTCAAAATTTTGAAATTGAATTAATGTATTTAAAATCTTGAAATGAAATTTATGTATTTAAAACTTTGAAATTAAATTAATGTATTTAAAATTTCGAAATAAAATTAATGTATTTAAAATTTTCAAATTAAATTAATGTATTTAAAATGAGCAATAACAAAAGAACAGCTAATGGTAATAATTTACAATCAGGTGTGATGAATTAGTTTTTTTTTAAACTTTAAAATATTTTAATTTAATTACAACATTATCTTTTGAGAGATTCTTTCAGACTTGAAGAAAAAAAAAAACTCAATGTAAATATCCTTATTAAGGTATGGTAATGAAGGTATAGGAATGATGATAGAAGGGAGAGAACATATGGAGGATGGAAATATGGCGGAGTTAGTTTACTCTTAATTGGTTATCAATTTTTTTTTTTCTTGACCATTGACCATTTTAGAATTTTTATTTGTCATAGAGAGAATGAAGTCTAAAAAAAAAAAAAGACAAATTCTATTGATTTAAAAATAAACATTAATTGAAATATTGAAAATACAAATGTTAATTAAAATTTTAAACGTTGATTGTTAACATTTAAAACATTATCAAACATTGATAAGAATAACACCTTCATACTGTTAAGCACATAAATCACCGTTTAGGAATCATTAAAAATGTATACATGATAGTTTTAATTGTAAATTTTTCTTATTTTAATAAACTTCGATATTTTTGATTAAAAATAGCATGTATTATCATTGAATGAGCTAAAAATGAATTAATTAACTGAGAGTTAATTAATTAAGAATTAATTAACTAAGAGTTACATGTTTATTATGACTAATCTTAGCGTTTCAAAGTTTTTTTTATCACCAGAAAAAAAAATTTCATATCTTCTCGTTCACTTTTATTTCAATATACTTTTCATTTTCAGTGATTGGGAATTTGAAAATGGGCTTGAATGTTTGTTAAATGAAATAAACTTGGGTGGTAATGGAGAACTAGAAGATAGTGAAATTTTGTCATATGCCGCTGGACAAATACGAGAATGGCGAATGGGAATTGCGATGAATGAAGGAAAAATAAGACAAATAAATCGTGATATACAACAATTAAATGATAAAATTGTGTTAGTTCATTTTTTGTTTTGTTTTTTTTTGTATTTGTTTAAAAAAAATTAAAATTAAAATTTTATATGAAAGGTTTTCTGCGGAAGATAATTTATAGCAGATGTTTTATTTTCAATTTAATT